AACAGGACGATGACACGTGTCCCTCCGTTTAAATGAGGGGTATATTTAAACCCAAAGTATGACGGTAGGGGTATAGATAACCCAATAGTATAGCGAGGGGTATTCTTAGACCATTTTTTAAAGTACAGGGGTATATTTGGACCTTTGTCGTATATTAAATAGTATATTAGATAATTATCAATTGATAAATAATATCTTAAAAGTAGTAAGTATTTTCCAAATAAATAATATTATTTTTTAATTAATTTCAATAGTGATTTAATATTTTTTACTAACTCATTAATGTGTTACAAATACATGCATATATAAGAAAAGCTAGATATTATTTATAATCAGGTATTTAAACTATATTTTTTTAAAAACAAAATTATTAAATAATTATAAATTGGTAAGTAATATCGAAAAATAATTATCGCCATCTTGACTTTTTTCAAATAAATAATATCTTAACTTAATAATTAATAAAAGTTTCAATTATGAATTTAAAATTTTACCAACTCATATGAGTAAAATATGAAATTTATGATTTGTTGCACTTTTTAAATAACAAAAAGATAAATATGAGTTTAAAAGGTATTTTTTCTTAATAATTATTGTGTACTAATAAATAGAAAATAAAGCTAGTAAAAAACGAAATTGTGTTTAACAACTAAGAAAAAAATAGCAAAATATGAGAAGTTGCAAAATTGTAGGAAATCACACAATAAGCAAACATGTTGGAAGGTTAAAAAATGATAATAAGAGAAATAAAAAAGAAATATTGTAAACAAAATAGAACTTAATATATTTAGAATTTTTTCTAGAAAAGTTACATTACACTGTGTAATTACCACAAATTCTCACATCTCTTTTGAGAATTGAAGAGTGTAGTTACACCCTCTCAATTACACCCAATTTCATGTTGCCCAAGTAATTATTTTGTCCGACAAACATGTCAAACTGTGTAACTACAACTAAATCCAACTCCTAGGTGGCTTTCCAAAAAGACTCTAAATGATAAATTGAAATAAGAGTGCATATTAACTAACTACTCTATTCAAGTAATACAACATACTTAAAACTAGGGGCAGATTCAGGATTTAAATGTTATGGGTTCAACCTTCAAAGTTTTTAACATTGAACCCATTATAGTTTTAAAGTTATAGGTTCATATCTACCTACTATTTTTGCAATTTTAATAAATTTTTGTACATAAATTTTTACTCCGTGTCGAAAGTTATGGGTTCAATTGAACCAGTCAGTTGAACACTACATTCGACCCTGCTTAGAACACATGACACACGTCTATTAATAATGTACCGAATTCACAAAAATACTTAATCCAAGGTAGAATTATACACCAACTATTACTCCCTTCGTTTCATTTTATGGCATTATTTGGATGCGCAAAAAGAGCTTTCGAACTTGTTATCTTAAATATGTCATGATATTTTGTGGCCGTAAAAGCATGTCATTAAAGGTAAACTTGAAAGTATAACAACAAATAATAAGGAAAAGAGATGCCTAGTGTTTGAACTTTCGAACCCAACTTCATAGCTAAATCCAGATTTCCTTTCTTGTATACTTTTAAAATTGAAGATAGTAAAAAGGCAAGAAATAGTAGTGGAGACAATATATTATGTATATGATTCTCTGGGAATGGCTAACTACTTTGTATGATATTCCTCCAAAAATGTAACACAAAAATATGAATTAGCAAAAAGATAAGAGAAGTGTAGAAAGAAGGGAAGCAGCCACTACTCAGATAACCATATGCATTTGTTACCTGCTTCCTTTTTCACCTTTGAGGGGCAGGCTTCGAAAATGAAAAGTCATCTTCATTCCTAGTAGATTCTTCATTTTGAGGAACATGCACTTCAAGTTCAGTATCATCATCAGTAACTTGTGCATTTGAGTCCTCTGGACGGTTTATCGGTGTAGTTGGATCGTTCTCGAGGTCAGATGCTTCTAGATCGTCATAGCCGTTGAAACGTGTTGAGTGACCAGTAGTTTTGAACCGATGAAGTGTAGGACCAATCGATGAGTGTAGAGGCGAGCCCACGGAGGACCTCGGACTTCCACTGCCCAGTGTTCGCGTGGATTTGTCTCCCTTAGCTCCTGCCTTCTTCTTCACGGCCATATGCCACTTCTTTAATGCCTTTGAGGTTTGTTCATCAAAAATGGATTTTTTCATATTGGAGCCCATCTGCAAATTCCAATCATGACAATAAAAATTAAGCCTATTTTCCCATGTAAAGTACAACAAGTCTTAGCTAATACACTACAAAGTCCACACGTATAATACTGTTTCATATACTCACGTCCCTTATAAGTTGTCATGTTTCCGTTTTCGAGAGTCAATTTGACTAATCTTCGAAGATATGGATTAGATCAACTCAATATTTTAAAATTAAAATTTAGCTACTCAAAAACTATACGAAAAATATTACAAGTTGCAATTCTTCTAATATCAATATGATGAAGAAATAGTTTGAATCTCGAGAAGCAAAAAGCGACACAGTAATATTGATTGAGATGAGCCCAAACAGAGCAACATGAGCAGTGAAGATATATACAGCCGATTCCAACTTGATTGAGAATGTGATGTAGAAATTGTTATTGTTGTACTAAGAAGTTCATGTAGTTTCCTATGGCACATTTTCGTCTTGCTAAAAGCTACTCCCTCAGTCTCAATTTAGATGACACAATAATCTTATTAGTCCGTTTCAAAAAGAATGATACGTTTCTATATTTAAAATTTAGAAACAATTTAACTTTGAACTTTTCATTTTATCCATTTTGCCCTTAACGAGAAGATTTTTTTTTTTTTTGAAGCAACCTTAAAGAGAAGCTTTTATAACCACACAAATATTATGACCCCACAGAGCGGTGCGAAAAGAACCTAAATACATTTATGCTTTCAATTTGGGTGTGTGTGTGTGGTTGGGGGTGGGGGGTGGGGGGACCGTGACACTTGGGAACTTCCAGTTAGTATTTGATAAAAATACCTGAGTTATAAGGGCATAGAGTGGAAGAGTGATATAACTGCATAAGAATAAAACTCCCACCCTGTAATGGGACAACAAAGTAGATTCA